ATTTGACAATAAATTTCATATATAAATAAAAAAAAATAAATTAATAAAAAAAAAGTCAATATATAAATTAAAATGAAATTGTGTAAAATAAAAAATTCAAAAGTGGGACACTTGGATGGCTCAGTCGGTTAAGCATCTGACTCTTGATTTCGACTCAGGTCATGATCTCATGGTTCGTGAGTAGGAGCCCCACACTGGGATCCATGCTGACAATGTGGAGCCTGCTTGGGATCCTCTCTCTCTGAGCATCTCCCACTCATGCTTGTGTGAGCACTGTCTCTTTCTCAAAATATCAAAATATGGGGACAAAGAGAAACTGAACACATTCTGTCAAAATAAGTGTGGTTCCAGAAGCTCTCACTGGGGCTATAGCAGTCAGTCATAGAGAAAGAGAGACACCAAAGCTTTTGCATTCCCAAATCACTGGGAATAAAAGGTAATGTTCTGAATTGGAAGTCGTTTTAAAAGCTTAGTTCCCATCCTTTGCAATTTAAGTTGAAAACAACTGTAACTATAAAGAAAAAGGAGGACTTTGTGGACAAGTCAAACTAAGAGCCTGATATTCAGGATAAATTCTAGAAACAAAGTAGAAGTACTCAAAGTTTAGTCTCACAATAGTTGACTTAAAGACTAAGAGTCACAGTTAAAATAAATCTGGATATATCCTATCATTATGAATCCGCTTTTCTAAAAGTTTCAGTTTTATTATCCCCGATTAATATGCTCACTGTTCTATTATTAAATGGTGGCAACTGTGTAAAAATTAAAACAGATTATTCTGTCTTGAAAGTTCTGTACCACATTGACCTTAACCTTCTCTATAATAGTAAAATTTGGTAGATTCTTATTCAGAATCTCTATACTGTAAGTATATAGTATTTTTCTAATTGTTTTAGGTCATGAAGAAACTAAACTCCCTCCCCAAGGAAAAAACACACATAAACATAAAATTCTGCATAGAATTTAAGGAGATACTATATTTATTAAAAAACAAAAAACAAAAAACAAAAAACCAACCCTGACTTCTAAGAGAAATTTGGAAAACAAACTAAAATTAAAGTCTTACCGAAAATAAGATACTACTCTAAGCCACAATTCCTGCCTCATCTCACACTTTAAAACAAATCTCCTCAGGATATTCACATACCCCATCAAAAGCTATTTTCTTTAAAAACAACACTTTGGCAGCCTTCAGACTCAAAATTATTAATGTTGCCAGGAGGATGAGCTTGGGTAAAAAAGTAAAAATTTGTAAGTTATTGAAGTATCTGTCCTATAAATTTTTTTTAACATTTATTTATTTTTGAGACAGAGAGAGACAGAGTATGAACGGAGGAGGGTCCGAGAGAGAGAGAGAGACAGACAGACAGACAGACACAGAAACAGGCTCCAGGCTCTGAGCTGTCAGCACAGAGCCGGACGCGGGGCTCGAACCCACGGACAGCAAGATCATGACCTGAGCCAAAGTCGGACGCCCAACCGACTGAGCCACCCAGGTGCCCTGAAGTATCTGTTTTATAAAAGAAGTCCTTCTCACAGGCAGAAGAGCTTTTGGAAACCACTGCCAGGGTGATCATGAGAATCTTTAACACTCCTCTGTGACAATCTGCAGTTGTCCGTGTCAATTTGACTTGCAAATGATGCCAATCATTTGTATATTTATGTATATATATATATGTATGTTTGTGTATATATATATATGTATATATACACACACACACACACATTTACACACACACACATACACACACAAGTGCTGAGTGGGAAATAACCAAATTCTAAGGCCAGCTACACTCTTACCCAAGAGTGAGTTATGTATACTCAATCAAAGGTCATGCTCCCCTGATGGCCTCATCTTATTCCGCTCCTCTACTATGTACGTCACCACTTCTACCCAGACTGGGTTACTCAGAACTAACAATACACTATATATTCCTATTTATTTTTATCATCAAAAGCATCTCTAAACTCTCAGATCAATGCCCATTTGTTACTTTCTAATCTCATAAATTTCTATGTATCTGCTATCCTTTCCTCAATGTATCATATACCCTTAACTCGTGAAACCTTTCCTTTGTGCCAAAAAAAGCAATTAGATACATATTCGGTATAAAAATTCCCATTCAAAAGTAGAGAAAATAGTATGATGATGCTCCAGGTACCGATCCTATAACTCAGATTCAACAATTTTCAAGATTTTCCACTTTTGCTTCATCTATCCCTTTATTTCCTTGTGGGAGTGTCTTCAACCAAATCTCAGACATCATCATTTCATGCTAAATACTTCAATATGCAGCTCTAAAAAATGGACAGTGAACAGTAATTTTAATTGAGTCAGTAATTATAAAATATATGAAAATATTGACCTAATACCGTGACCAATAGGTGATAAAAACTTTTGAACTGCAACTGATACCATCAAGAAAGTGAAAAAAGCACCTACAAAATGGGAGAAAATATTTGCAAACCATATATGTTAAGGGGCTTGTAGTCAGACTTTATAAGAAATTTTTATAATTCAACAAAAAAACCCACAAACAACCCTATTAAAAATGAGCAAATGATTTGAATAAATCTTTCTCCAAAGAAAATATATAGTCAATAAGCACTTGAAAATATGGTCAACATTATTAATCACTAGGGAAATGCAAGTCAAGACTAAAATTAGACAATACTTCATTTTCCACTTGGATGGCTGCCATTAAAAAAAAATCAACAGATAGCAAATATTGTTGAGAATGTAGATAAATTGGAACCCTCATACATTGCTGGAGGGAATGTAAAATGGAGTAGCTGCTTTGAAAAACTGGCAGTTCCTCAAAAAGTTAAACATAGAGTTACCGTATAAACCAGTAATTCTACTCCAAGAGAAATACCTTCCACATCCTTCCACACAGAATCTATACATGAATGCTTACAGCAGCTTAGTCATTAGTAGCCAGAAAGCAGAAACAACACAAATGTCCATTAACTGATGAATGGACAAGTGTGAAATATACAAACAGTGCAATTTTTCTAGGTCACGAAGAATAAAGTACTGATGCATGCTCCAATGTGGACGAAGCTTGCAAACATATGCTAAATGAAAGAAGCCAGTCCCAAAGACCATTATTACCTTGTAGGATTCCATTTATATGAAGTGGCCAGCATAGGCAAATCCATAGAAACAAAAATAAGATTTATGGTTGCAAAGGGTTGGGGAGGAAATGGAAAGCAGCTGCTTTGGGGTGATCAAAATGTTGATTGTGGTGTAGTTGCAAAATTCTATGAATACGCTGACTTGAACACTTTAAATGTGTAACTTTTTTTTTTATCATTAGGGAAATGCAAATCAAATACGAGTCAACCAATTATATATCTCAAAGATTTTTTTTTTAAAAGACCACTGAAATCATTGAAATTTACTGTTTTCTGAAACTCTCGAAATCTTTTTGATTCAGCTAGAGAACATCCAGAGAATACTGAAAGCCTGACTGAAGACAAGTTGAAATAATTACAACCCAAGTGTGAAAAGACTAAAAAGATATAAAAATCTGCAGTGCTGCCATTCGTGTTATGCGTAGGTGATGTGTTGTTATCTTAATTTGACAACTGACTGAGTTGTATTAGGGTCACAGGACCCGAAAATGGCAGTGCTATGCTGCTAACTCAGATCAGTCTGACTCTGCCTGAGGTCTTTTTCTAGCTTCAGCGTCGCTGGCGCAAAGTAGGGAGTTGAGGGCAAAGAAGGCAGTGGGTAAGAGAATACAGTTGTTAGTGTTTCCTGAGTGAACACCAGTACAGAAGAAGAGGGAGACAAAACTTGCAAGTTCTCACTTCTAAAATCCTTATGAAGCAACGCTCATTTTTATGGAGAAATGATTCCATGTCATTTTAGGATGGCACTAAAATAAAAAAATATATATATCCAACTTTGAAAAATCGTACCCCATGCAAGTGACTTCTTTCAATCTCGGCGTTTCATCCTCTGCCTTCCTGACGTAAAGTTCTTCAGAAGAACAACCTGTTTTCCCACTACCTTTCAAAAGAGCAATTCGCGCGACACTTGGACCGCGGACACCAGAGCGGAGACTGCGCGCTCGCGCAACTCGAGCCTCAGTCTCTGCGCGTGCGCACCGCTTCCCGGTCTCTTTCCGCCTCCGACTGGGGAACCTCGGCTCCGGCGCTCTGTGGGCCGTAGGTGGCGGCTCTGTTGTTTACAGTGTGTTGTTTGTTGAGTCGCGTTTCCACGCCACCTGTGACGGTCAGCGGCGGTTGCCCACGGCTCAGCGCCTCGGCGGACTGCGGCCGGTCGTTGCCATGACAGCGACCGCTGGGGGCCCTGGTAAGCGCGGATCCGGCCTTTGTGGGTCCCTGAAGGGCTTCCCTCGATTGGCTCGCAGTCCTGCACTTGGGCGTGGCGCCTATGGTTGGATCGTTTTGAGAGACTCCTCTGATAGCACCACTCCCTTTTCCTGATGGAGGTCCGCTTCCTCAGTGCGCCCACAACGGACTGGCCTAGAACTTTGGTTCCTCCTGTGGGCCTTGAAAGAAAAGCCGATGGGATGGCCAAGAATAGCAAGAATATTGCACCCTTTCTAAAAAGGAATGCTTAGGGCAATTTTGTGTTCATAGGAAAATTGAGCTGGAAGACACAAAGGGTCTCCACATAGTCCCTATTGGGACACTGCAGAGCCTCCCCATTATCAGCACTTTGTGTTCTTGTGAACCAACATTGACACATCATAATCACCTAAAGTCCATAGTTTACCTTTGGGTTCACTGTTAGTGGTGTACATTCTTGGGGCTTAGACAAATGTATAATGCTTTGTATCCTTCATTGTGGTATCATACAAAATAGTTCCTTTGCCCTCCAGATCCTCTGAGCCCACTGATTCACACCCACCTCCAACAACCACTGATCTTATTACCTCCATAGTTTTGTCTTTTCCAGAATGTCGTGTAGTTGGAATCATACAGTATGTAGCCGTTGAAATCATAAAGTATGTCATCAATGAAGGATTGACTTCTTTCACTTAAGAGTATGCATTTAAAGTTCTTCATGGCTTAAGAGCTCATTTCTTTTTAGCACTGAATAATATTCCTTGTCAGTTGTCTGGATGTATCAGAGTTTACACACTTGGTGAAAGACATCTTGGTTGCTTGCAACTTTTGGCAGTTAGGAATAAAGTCGCTGTAAACATCCATGTGAAGGTTTTTGCATGGACTTAAGTTTTCAACCCCTTTGGGTAGAAATCAAGGAGCACGATTTCTGGATTGTAATGGTAACAGTATGTTTAGTTTTGTAAGAAACTGCCTAACTATCTTTTAAAGTGGTTGTACCATTTTGCAGTCCCATCAACAGTGAATGAGAATTCCTATTGCTCCACATTCTCACCAGTATTTTGTGTTGTCAGTGTTCCAGATTTTGGCTATTCTAATAGGTGTGTAGTTGTACCTTATTGTTGTTTTGTGTTTCTCTCTCTCTTTTTTTTAATGTTTATTCATTTTGAGAAACAGAGAGAGAGCATGAGTGGGGGAGGGCAGAGAGAGAGAGAGGGAGAGAATGCCAAGCAGGTTCCCGGATGTCAAGTGCCAAGCCCAACATGGGGCTTGATCTCACGAACCATGAGATCATGACCTGAGCCAAAATCAAGAGTCAGGCACTTAACCAACTGAGCCATCCAGGTGCCCCAGAAGTTTTTTCATCTTAATAAAACCCAGCTTACTCATTATTTGTTTCATGGATGGTGCCTTTGGTGCTGTATGTAGAAAGTCATCACCATACCTAAGGTCATCTAGGCTTTCTTATATATTATCTTCTAGGAGTTTTATAGTTTTGTAAATATAAAAATACAAAATCAAATAATTTTTGTGAAGGATGCAAGGTCTGTTTCCAGATTCATGGTTTTCCGTGTGGATTTGTCAGTTGTCCAGCATCATTATTGAAAAAATTATTTTTACTCCATTGTATTGCCTTTGTTTCTTTGTCAAAGATCAGTTGACTCTATTTGTGGGTGTTTACTTTCGGGTTATCTGTTCTATTCTATTGATCTGTTTGTCTGTTTTTCACCTGTACCGCCCTGTCTTGATTACTGTAGCTTTATAGTAAGTCTTGTTGGGTGGTGTCATCTCTTTGTTCTTCTCTTTTAGGATTGTGTTGGCTATTTTCGTTTTTATGCCCTCCATATAAACTTTAGAATCAGTTTGTCCTTATCTATAAAATAACTTTGTGGGATTTTGATTGGGATTGCTTGAATCTGTAGGTCAAGTTGGAAGAACTGACATCTTGACAATATTGAGGCTTTCTATCCACGAGCATGGAATATCTCTAATTAGTTCTTTGACTTCATTTATCAGAGTGTTGTGGTTTTCCTTTTATACCTCTTGCACATATTTTGTTAGATTTATACCTAAGTATTTTGGGTGCTAATGTAAATGGTGGTATTGTGTTTTTCATTTCAGAATCCACTTTTTTTTTTTTTTTTTTTTTTTTTTTTTTTTTTTTTTTTTTTTTTTTTTGCTGGTAAGTAGGAAAGCAATTGACTTTTATATATTAACCTTGTATCTTTCAGCTTTGCAATAATCACTTATTAATTCTGGGAGTTTTTGTGTTGATTCTTTCAGTTTTTTGCATATACAGTCATGTTATCTGTGAACAAACACTGTTTTGTTTTTTCTTCCCCAATCTGTATAGTTTTATTTCTTTTTGTTATCTTAGTGTATTAGCTAGTACTTCCAGTATGATGTTGAAAAGTAGTGGTGAGGGGGTAGGAATACTGTTTCTTGAGGTCGTGGTTGAAAGTGACATTTACCTGATCCATAATTTCAGTAGATCAAATGCAAAGTAGTTTTGTTCAGTCTGATTCCTCTTGGAATTGGGTGAGAATGAGAAATGCAGACAAATGGGTATGGTCAAGCATAATTCTAGCTTTTTGTATCCAACCTTTGGAAGCTGGTAATTTGTGTGTCCCTGTTGTTTGACCCCAGAGTTAGAGGTGTTTTAAACCAGGCAGTTCTACACTCCACACGTTTACAGTATCTTTTACGTCAACATAATTAGTCACAGTAGACATCTTTGGTGACATATTTTTTTCAGTGTTAGTTTTTTCCTTATTGTAAACATAATTCATGCTCATTATAGAAAATTTATAAAATATATTGAAGCAGGGGGAAAAAATCCACACAATTCCAATAGAAACTTTTTGGTATACTTTCTAATGTGAATAATAAAATAAAATGGAGCCACTGTGTCAAGAAGTTTTAAAATGGAGCCAGAAGGCCATTAAGGGGGTAGGCCTTAGGTACATTCTTATCAGGTAGACCCGTGAACTTTTGAACTAGGCCAAACTTCAAATATTCCAAGGACTCTGCATAAACACTTGCAACTTACTACAGTAATGGACTTTTTCTTAGTGATAGCCTTAGCAAGCAATTATGTTTAGCTAAGATTAGTTGTTGTTGTTGTTGTTGTTGTTTGCCACCAACACTGATTACATTTTTTGGTAAACAACACATAGAAGCATTCCCTTTTGTCTTTAAAAACTCCTGACTTTGGTTCCTAGTGGGACACAATTTGGGTTGCTACCCAAACCTTTGCTCCCCAAATTGCAATTCTCAGATTGCAAATAAATGCTTTTATTTCAGTTCTGCCTCTTCTCTTGGTTGACACTAACAATCCTGACTTTTAAGAACACGGTATACGTGTTGCCATATGCTATTTGTCTCTTTTTTTGGCTTTCTTCCACTTTTTAAAAATATACAAAGTAGTTTTTTTAGAGCATTAAATTTTAGTGAGTAGAACAACAAACATTTATTATCTTATAGTTCTGTAGGTCAGAAGTCTGAAATGGTCTCAGTGATCTAAAATCAAAGTGGCAGCATGGCTGTATTCCTTCTGGGGCCTCTAGGAGAGAATCAGTGTTCTTGCCTTGCCATCCTCTATAGACTGTTTGAGTTCCTTGGCTCATGGTTTCTTCCTCCATTTTCAGAGCCAGCAATGGCTGGTCCAGTCTTTGTCACATTGCATCACTCTCACACTGACTCTCTTGCCTCCCTCTTTGACTTACAAAGATCTTGTGATTCACTGGACCCACCTGGATAATCCAAGCTCATCTCCACACCTTAAAGTCAGCTGATTAGCAAACTTAATTCCATTTGTCATCTTAATTCCCTCTTGCTGTGTTATATAACATATTCACACTACACAGGGATTAGGTTGGGGACATCTTTGCAGGGGGGTGGTCATTATTCTTCCTACCACAGTACCCATACATATTGTTCTCCATTGGGCTTTTTTTTCCCACTTAACATATCTTTGGGATTATATCAGTACATCTAGATTTGCCTCATTCTTTTTAATGGCTGTATAATTTTCCAATTGCATGGATATATCACATTTATTTAATGAATCCACTGCTGATGGGTATTTAGATTATTTTCACTTTTGCTATTACACACAATGTTATATCAAATATCCTTGTACCAAATGTGTCACTTACCACATATAGGCATATTTATCTATGGCATAAGTTTATGAAAGTGGAATTTCTGGGTAAACGTATTTTTCTTTTTTTTTAATTTTTCTTTTTTAAAAGTCTTTATTGAGATATAATTTCCAAACAATATGATTCATTTATTTAAAGCATAGAATTCAGTGGTTTTTAATATATCAGAGTTGTGTAACCATCACCACAATCAGTTTGTGGTGAGCTGAAATCAAGAGTCAGACGCTTAACGGAGCCACCCAGGCACCCCTAATTCAAATATTTTTAAAATTGCTACATATTTTCTTCTGAGTCTAAAGAATGTGTGACTGTTGCATATACTAAATAGGACCACATGTTTGGGGCCATAGTGGATGCTATAGCTAACTCTCACCTTTATTCTATAGCCTGATATACAGAGTGGTTGCTAAGTTCCATGCATGTTAGTTAGAACTTCTCTTTATATGTTCCTCCATTCTCTAATCAAAATTTACTTTTTCTCAATGTCTTATTGGAAGTTTCTGCTGGGTATTTTCAGGTTTTTAACTATTGTTAGGCAGAGTTAAGAAACAAATAATTAACAGAAGGTATAATCTCATGCAGAAGGAATTTGCAGGCAATTGATAGGCACTAAAATGTTTAAATTAATATACAAGAATTATGTGGGTAACTATTTTTCTCATTGTTATATTGGGATATTACACAGTATGGAGTAGATATGGATTCAAGTATTACAGTCTTGGTTAACTCACATATTTTAATGCTTAATAGAAAATCTGGATATCCAAAAAGTAGTTGATGGATATGGGAATTATGTATATTTGTACATGGTAAACAAATCTATAAATAATAGCTCAGGAATTTAGTCACTGATATAAATTTTGCCCACATTCATAATCCCAAGGTGCATATGCTTAGATGTATAGCTTAAGATTCTAAATTGTTAATATAAATATAGAATGGGGCCTCTGGTGGAGAAAACAATTAAGCTGTACACAGTTTAAAAGGTTTTAATACAGCTTTTTTAAAAGTTTATATAATTATTTTGAGAGAGAGAGAGATAGACAGAACCCAAATGTCCATTGATGGATGAATGGATAAAGAAGATGT